ACTAAGGGGTTGATATCACGAGGGCCTGCCAGCTGCGCACGAAGCCATTGAAGCTCTCCTTCCTGAAAGCCCTTCGTGCGAGCTGCCGTTACCCGTGTTGCAGTGTTACACTTCAAGACTGGCGCATGGGTCAAACAAGGAGCAACTCTGAAATCTGACCCCAAGGGCAAAGCACTGCATGTCAGATATGTCACAATGTCACGATTGCATCAGGTAAGCAATTGCATGCACACCCACAAACAGCTTTGCTCTTTTCATGCGCACAAAGCACATTAGCGATCCATGATACAAGCTGGGTCAGCTGGCATGTGGGGAATGAGGGTGCACTATATAGGTCCTCACAGTACCCCCACGCTTGCGGCAAAGGGCCCAGTTGGCCCTCTGCCACTCTCATTCGCTACTTACTTGGCCATCATCATCTTCACAAACTCCTCATAGTTGATCTGGCCATCGCCGTCCACATCTGCCTCTCGGATCATCTCGTCAACCTCCTCTCGTTGGAGGGGTCAGCTGTTTACAAGCAGAACATCTGCTCGAACCAGTTTAGTGCCAAATTCAGTCGACGCTTGCCTTTGTCTATGCCGAATGGCGCTCTTTTACATCCACCAACAACCAGAATGTGACAGCCCCGCCTCGTCAGTCAGCTTCTCACCAAGGTTGGTCATGACGTGCCGCAACTCAGCAGCACTGATGAAGCCGTTGCCATCCCGGTCAAAGACCTTGAAGGCTTCAATCAGCTCCTCTTCCGTGTCAGTGTCCTTCATCTTGCGCGCCATCAGGGACAAGAACTCCGGAAAGTCGATGGTGCCGTTTCCATCCGCATCCACCTCGTTGATCATGTCTTGCAGCTCTGCCTCTGTGGGGTTCTGACCCAGCGAGCGCATCACGGTGCCCAACTCTTTGGTCGTAATCGTGCCATCGCCGTCCTTGTCGAAGAGGGAGAAGGCCTCCTTGAACTCGGCAATCTGCTCTTCGGTCAGCTGATCAGCCATGGCTTCAAGACTAAGGGGTTGATATCACGAGGGCCTGCCAGCTGCGCACGAAGCCATTGAAGCTCTCCTTCCTGAAAGCCCTTCGTGCGAGCTGCCGTTACCCGTGTTGCAGTGTTACACTTCAAGACTGGCGCATGGGTCAAACAAGGAGCAACTCTGAAATCTGACCCCAAGGGCAAAGCACTGCATGTCAGATATGTCACAATGTCACGATTGCATCAGGTAAGCAATTGCATGCACACCCACAAACAGCTTTGCTCTTTTCATGCGCACAAAGCACATTAGCGATCCATGATACAAGCTGGGTCAGCTGGCATGTGGGGAATGAGGGTGCACTATAGGTCCTCACAGTACCCCCACACTTGCGGCAAAGGGCCCAGTTGGCCCTCTGCCACTCTCATTCGCTACTTACTTGGCCATCATCATCTTCACAAACTCCTCATAGTTGATCTGGCCATCGCCGTCCACATCTGCCTCTCGGATCATCTCGTCAACCTCCTCTCGTTGGAGGGGTCAGCTGTTTACAAGCAGAACATCTGCTCGAACCAGTTTAGCGCCAAATTCAGTCGACGCTTGCCTTTGTCTATGCCGAATGGCGCTCTTTTACATCCACCAACAACCAGAATGTGACAGCCCCGCCTCGTCAGTCAGCTTCTCACCAAGGTTGGTCATGACGTGCCGCAACTCAGCAGCACTGATGAAGCCGTTGCCATCCCGGTCAAAGACCTTGAAGGCTTCAATCAGCTCCTCTTCCGTGTCAGTGTCCTTCATCTTGCGCGCCATCAGGGACAAGAACTCCGGAAAGTCGATGGTGCCGTTTCCATCCGCATCCACCTCGTTGATCATGTCTTGCAGCTCTGCCTCTGTGGGGTTCTGACCCAGCGAGCGCATCACGGTGCCCAACTCTTTGGTCGTAATCGTGCCATCGCCGTCCTTGTCGAAGAGGGAGAAGGCCTCCTTGAACTCGGCAATCTGCTCTTCGGTCAGCTGATCAGCCATGGCTTCAAGACTAAGGGGTTGATATCACGAGGGCCTGCCAGCTGCGCACGAAGCCATTGAAGCTCTCCTTCCTGAAAGCCCTTCGTGCGAGCTGCCGTTACCCGTGTTGCAGTGTTACACTTCAAGACTGGCGCATGGGTCAAACAAGGAGCAACTCTGAAATCTGACCCCAAGGGCAAAGCACTGCATGTCAGATATGTCACAATGTCACGATTGCATCAGGTAAGCAATTGCATGCACACCCACAAACAGCTTTGCTCTTTTCATGCGCACAAAGCACATTAGCGATCCATGATACAAGCTGGGTCAGCTGGCATGTGGGGAATGAGGGTGCACTATAGGTCCTCACAGTACCCCCACACTTGCGGCAAAGGGCCCAGTTGGCCCTCTGCCACTCTCATTCGCTACTTACTTGGCCATCATCATCTTCACAAACTCCTCATAGTTGATCTGGCCATCGCCGTCCACATCTGCCTCTCGGATCATCTCGTCAACCTCCTCGTTGGAGGGGTCAGCTGTTTACAAGCAGAACATCTGCTCGAACCAGTTTAGTGCCAAATTGAGTCGACGCTTGCCTTTGTCTATGCCGAATGGCGCTCTTTTACATCCACCAACAACCAGAATGTGACAGCCCCGCCTCGTCAGTCAGCTTCTCACCAAGGTTGGTCATGACGTGCCGCAACTCAGCAGCACTGATGAAGCCGTTGCCATCCCGGTCAAAGACCTTGAAGGCTTCAATCAGCTCCTCTTCCGTGTCAGTGTCCTTCATCTTGCGCGCCATCAGGGACAAGAACTCCGGAAAGTCGATGGTGCCGTTTCCATCCGCATCCACCTCGTTGATCATGTCTTGCAGCTCTGCCTCTGTGGGGTTCTGACCCAGCGAGCGCATCACGGTGCCCAACTCTTTGGTCGTAATCGTGCCATCGCCGTCCTTGTCGAAGAGGGAGAAGGCCTCCTTGAACTCGGCAATCTGCTCTTCGGTCAGCTGATCAGCCATGGCTTCAAGACTAAGGGGTTGATATCACGAGGGCCTGCCAGCTGCGCAGGACAAGTAGCAGTCTTCGGCTGCACGTGGCAACTCTGACAGGCTTGAGTCCTTATCATGTGGGTATGTGTTGTGTTTGGATGCCTTGCTTCTTTCTGGGCTTTCCCGCATGGAGGATGCAGACTCCGCCGGGCTGTTGGCCGGAGCTCGGCCCCCCAGGTCCTCAGCAAAGGGTCAATTGTCATTTTGGTCCAACATGGCTTTTCAACAAGCAGGATATGGCAGAGTCAGCAGAGCTTTTTGGCTTTATGGTGAAGGTAATCAGCCGGACATCTTACAAAAGAGAGTGCCCGCCTTGACAAAGTCCCTCTGGGTGAAGAGTCAAGCATCGGGAAGAGGTAATGACCAATACAGATTCTGCTGACACGGATTGCTATGATGCAATGGCACTACTGTCTTGCCTCTGCATCCTTGCCCACATCTGATGCTAAGCCGGATCAGTTGATGGCAATTGCGGGCACGCAGCTTCCTTTATAGCTTAGATTCCGCAATGGACGGCAACATAGGAAAGCCTGAGTGCATGGACCTCCTGGCTGTCATAGCGCAACTGGAGACTCCCAAGTTTCAGACAGGCGAGCACATCGCCGACA